CCTTGGCATTAAGTTGAGCTTTCTTTCGTTCTTTGTCACTCCACTTCTCATTCTTCTTTGGAGAAGAGTAGCCGTTATCGATTATCTCCCATGCATCAAGATCATTGGATTGGATGAATACCTTCATTAATTTCTTCCAATGATGATAGTTGGCTCCATTGAAGTATGGAGGCTTGTCGTTTGGTAGGGAGTCTTCCATGTGGAACGAGTCGGAGGTGGAAGCCATCTTCTCGGTTGTGTCGGGAATTGGTAGAGCTTCTTCGAGGATCATCTCAAGGTGGTTAAACCTTCTTAATGTGTCGAGAACGGTTTTTGAGTTTAGGGAGTAAGGAGATTGAAAGATAGAAAATTGCACAGCGATTTAGAGTTGTTCGACTTTCTAAACCAAGGTCTACGTCCACTACCTTAGCTCCTCACCAAGGATTTTTTAACAAATTCACTAATTTGTTCTTTCTTTTGAGGACAAAGAGATAACCTTACAACTCCCTAGTTTTTTCCAGGCTAAACTAGAACCTTTCCCTAGCTTTTACACGGGATAAGCTAGAACATTTCCCCTTTACAAAAGGATAAAATAAGTAAACAAGAAAACCTCTCTAAGGTAGGTGTTTACAAGATTGAGCTCACAAGAACAAAATATTTACAAGAAAAAGATGAAATAAGATTGAAAACTCTTCTCTTGTGTTTGATTGCTTGGATAGTTGTTCTCTTTTTTCTTCAAGTGTCCTTTGCTTGTATTTATAGCTTGGAATGTGTTTGATGTTGTATATAGCCGTTGTGGATGTTTTGGAGCCTTTTGGGGATGATTTTTCTACTCAAAAAGGCTGCCCATAACATGGTGCATCGATGCACTATCAAGTTGCATCGATACCCCTTCATTAAATTCAAATAAACTAGTTGTTACTAGCCGTTGCAGCCTTCGTGCATGGATGCACAACAGGATGCATCGATGCACAACCTTGATGCATCGATGCATAGAAGGATGCATCGATGCACTAATTGCATTCGATGTTTTAGTGAATGGATACACTGCATGGTGCATCGATGCACTAGTGCATGTGCATGGATGCACTGTAGGGATGCATGGATGCATTGCAGGGGTGCATGGATGCACTTTGACGCCCTTTAGCATTTTGGCTCAAATCCGAATTTAATGGACTTTGAATTATTTTTGAAACCTTTTTAAAACTTTGAATAAATTCAATTCAATTCCAAAAATATTTTGCCTTAAATTTGTTATATTGAAACATAATTCAACACTTATGTCTTCTTATAGACATATATTCACATGTAGTCTCATAACTTATCCTTGCATAGATCATATAAATTCTCCTATATCATAGTCATATATATATCATATTACATATACTTGTATTCATATAGTTTATATTCTTCTTCACATAATCACATATGTCCCGTTTAATAACATATATCATATATGTATATAATAACTTATATCATATCATATAGCTTATGCTTCATTCTTTTATATTCACATAGATCACGTAACCTATGTCATAACTTATAAACATATATCATTTCTATTATTTCATTTATATACTAATTTAATCTATTTACTTAGTTTAATTTCATATAGTTGCTATAACCTCCGCAATATGGTTCCATATATCTTTATCATATAACCCATATGTCATAATTTTATTTAAGCACATGAATCTTCCCCATATAGCTTATCTTATATGTTCGCATCATCACTTATGTTCAAGTCTCCTAGTTGATATACTATTCTCATATCATCCTATAGGTCATTCGTATTTAGCTTATCTCAGTTCTCATTTAATCATATAATTCTATTATACTAGTTCACATAAATGATCACACAACCATGTACTTGTCCAACTCATGTTCCTATTTTTATATAACCTTTACACATGCTTACCTAGTTCATATCATTTATCATGAACTCACTTTTATCATATTCTCATATTATTACATAGTCATATTATATAACTCATATCTTGTTATTATAATCATATAGCTTATAATCCAGATTCACATCATTACATAATTCCATTATATCATTTAACATAGATTAACACACAAACCTGCATTCACATACCTCATTTAAGACACATAGTATAACATGTAATTCACACAATAACGTATAACACATACACTCATATTCATATACCATAATATGGAAATTAGACTTATCACAAGTCTTATTTCCATGGCATATCATATACATAATGTTATGCACTCACCTGGCCTCACTAGCCAATTCAACCACTTATGACTTTTGCACAATCTTATAACTTTGAATCATCTTGGACTTATCCTCGATCGATATCTACACAAATATACGACTTATATGAATATCGAAGTTCGAATCATTAATAACCAATCAATATAACTTATACTGAAATAACCACTTAATTTAGCATTTAAGCCTAATAGTATCGGTACTCTTACTATAGTACCGATACTACCCTCTTATAGTACCGATACCCCCCATAGGTACCAATACCATTTTAACATTCTGCTTTAATAACTCGATAATGGTATTGATACTAAACACTTGGTATCGATACCCCTTTAACCAGTACTATACCACCCTTTAGGTATCGATACTTCTTAAAGATTCCATCCAAATTTATAATATGGTATCGATATTGTGCTTTCAGTATCGATACCCCAATCTTGATTTCTACTCATTTACTTTGAAGTATCAACATTGGATGAACAGTACTGATACACCATGCCCATAACACTCTTCTTTAACCCAAAAATTTACCAAAGCTTACTTAAACCTCTCATTTTGAACTCCTTTCATACCATTAACCTCAACTATACTTACTCATACCATCTAATATCCATATAACTCATCATCATCTTCAATATATCATTATAATTCTTGAAACCAATAATCTTACTAAATTTTCAACATGTTCTTAATTCACTTTTATTACTTTTAACTTCTTAATTAGACCACTGACAAGTCAAAAATGACCTCAAACTTCACTTACTAACTCTCTTCCAATAATTCACTTAAAAAATCTTTACTTTAAATCTTTCATAACTTATTCATCTTTGAGTTTTAAGACTCCTAAAGCTTTCCTTAAGCTTTCTTAGCACTTCAAGAATCAAAACCAACTTTAAATTGAAAGAAATAATCAATAGGAAACAAACTCACCTTAGCCAAGCACTCACGTAGAGAGGAGGAAGAAAAGATGGAGAAATTATTCTAGATATCTCTGATACTTTTCATTTCCTTCCACGTGTTTATAAAAACACTCCTAATGAATTTTTTATTCATTCTGATTGAAAGACCTTTTTGCTCTTCCTTCTTTTCTAATTAGTCTTTCCCAAATAATTTCCAATTAAGTCCCTTAACTTTTCCATTTTTTTGAAATCATACCTCAAAGTTTCAAAACTTACATTTTAGTCACTAGCCCTGATTTTGGAATGTTACATTATTGGCGGTTATAAAGAATGTCGGTATTTAGATTAGGGTTGCTGGAAATTGAGATAATGAAACAAAGGTTAAGATCATGAAAAATAAAGATAAAAAAGATGGATAAAATAAAGATAAGAATAGATAAAGATAAAATAGAGATATGTAATAGAAAAATTAAACTTAGCCTATAGAGGTAAAAACAATAATTGAGGAAAAAAGATAATGGATTTGTTGAAGATGAAGATAGGAGGATAAATGTCCTATTGAACCCTCCTAGTTGCAATGAAAATGTAAACTCGATAATACGACTCTAACCAGTCCTCTTAATCGCAATGAAAAGGAACACTGGAGTGTGAAGTTCTCTATCTCTTAAGAATTTGAAAAGAACTCAAAGGAAAGAAGCTTCAAAAGCATAAGGCAATCAGCTCTTGCAAAAACGTACTCACATTGTATTATTATTCAAATAAAAGTTGATGTGTTTATAATGGTGTGAGGAGCCTTCTTTATATAGGTGAGGAGGAATCCTTGTTGTAACCCAACTATGTAATAAGTAAAGATATCCTAATAGCAATAAACTAAAGATAATTGTTTTAACTTTATATTAATTCCTAATAAATAATAAATCTAATGCTAAAAAATAATGTATGATCATATATTAAATTATATTACAAATAATCAATAAAAATATTGAAAATTTGTAATATTTATAAAATCTCGTATTAATCCGTAGAGGATTTTCTACATGCGATCATACATATACGTACATACGTATATACGTACATACATACATACGTACGGAGTTAATATTTTTAAAAATTACAAAATTCTCCTTTGATTTGTCAATATTATTTTCATATCTCTTGCTTGAGCATTTTCAAGAACACTTGCCATAGAATGGGTATGAAAAGTACTACTTTATAGTAGTGCAATTCAACGACATTCGAAAGAAAAATAAACTTAAAATAAATCGAGTCAATTTTTGTGTTATTTTATGATTCGGAAATTTTAATCAATTATTCAATAAAAAGGATTGTATTTTAATTTTTTTATTCGAATATATAATTTCCACTATCACATTAATGTATAAATGATTAGGTACCAATCTTGAGCGTTGTGGGGTGATTACCATTTTGACACGCGTAATCGACTCTTAAATCCCTTTAAATTGAATATTTGATAAACGTAGACCAACTTTTGTCTTTAAAATTATTTTCTCAAAATTATTTTAAAAGATATTTGTAAGTATTCGACCTATCTAACCCAAAGCTAGACAACTCCAAATCAAATTTCATAAAAAATCTCAATTTTCTAAAATAAAATCATAATTATTTTAAAATCCATTTTTTAATTTTTTAAGAAGTGGTTATGACAATAGTAAGATAAAAAAAGATTAAAAAATAATTTAAAATAATATATCCATCCATTCAAATATATATACACCGATATGGTCGATATTCATCTAAATGAGTTGGAAACACACTTAAACAACTGAAAAACACCAAAATTGTAAATGAATATAAACCTAAACTAGTGCGTATCAGTTTTAGACTGATACGATTTAAATTAATACGATATTAAGTACTATTGTATTATTACAATTCACAACGTTATGTTTTTTTCCCTTTATATGCGTCACGAAGCTGAGTGGCTTTGCCGCGTCTACTTTATTATTAGCCTTAAAGCCTTGACTTTGATGATGTAGACGATGTTGGCGTTGCACTCTGCAAATACATAAAGGGTGAGCATGTCAATATCTCATCTGTACTTGTTTGGTTTAATAATTAAAGGTTCTATGATAACATTATCGATAGAACTTCAATATTGATTTCCAAGCTTTTGAATCCAAATTTTTGAATGATTTAAGGAGAAGTTATTGGAATGTTAAAAAATTCGGAGATTAATTTAGAACGAGAGTCGTAGTCTGGGATGAATTTGATATGTTAAAATGTATAAGGATTAATTTAGAATGACAGTCATAGTTTGGGGATGAATTTAGAATATTTAAAAGTTTAAGGACTAATTTAAAATGAATATCATAGTTTGAGTATGTATCATGCAATTAACTCTTTAATTTATAAATCGGTTTTTCACCTATCTATCTAAAGATGATGATCGAATTCTGGATAATGGAAACTACAAACAAAAAGGGAATATAAAGTTCTTACCAATGGGATGTCCTTAATGGCTCTTTCTTCCAAATACTTTGAAGGTTTATAGAAGCTACCGTACATTTCTGACCATTTCTTTAGACTTTCATACACATGCTTTGCTCCAATGGTATCTGCCCAAAACACTATACCACCACTGCCAAAAGAAATGACATAACGGCCGTTAAAGAGATGTGGGAGAATTGTGGGACACACACATAACGAGGACAACAGGAATACTACAAAAATATTTTTTAAGCAAGTAAATACTTTTTGAATAGTTTAGATGATTATAAGATAATATAGTCCATTGGAAATGTACATACATTCTACGTATACAACAATTTTCTAAAGAAAACTTTTTTTATACCAAGTTTATTATCAAGCAAATATCTTAAAATAATCTTTTGCAATGACATAATGAATTTACCAAATCGGGCATGAATAAGATAAAATAAAAGAAGAGAGGACTTACCGGTAAGAAGGGAAGCTCATTCCAAGAACAGATGCAGTATCAAGGTGCGATGGTTGAACCACGACTCCTTCATCCAGAACCCGACATGCCTCGTTGACTACTGGGAATAATACCATCTCCAGGATTTGTTTATCAGTAACTGTTATAGGCTGTCAAACAATTCCAATAACAATTCATTACCTGATTTGATGGCCATGGACATTCGCACATAAGATCAATTTGAATTTTGAATTATATCTGTCCGAATCAATATTCTAATATTTTCAGGTTTTTACTATTTTAGACTAGGTTAGGGATGAAACCAAGATAACATCCCAACTCAAAATTTTAATCATTATATATATTTGTAGGCAAGTGAAGTGACCCTACCTTTCCACCGGGCATAAGTTTAGTTTGCTGTCGACACTCTTCAATAATAGGAAATATCGAAGGATCAGGTTTTGTCTTGCTTCCCTTCTCATAACTATAATATCCCTTCCCGTTGATTTTCCCTGGAAATTACCATAACTTCATAAATTCCCTCCACAACTAACGCCAAAAAAAAGAATCTCATATGAACAAAACTATGGTTTTCTTTACCATTTCGTCCATTTTTCATCAAAAGTTCAATCAATGGAGATATGAATACTCGATCCGGGAACGACTTTGAAAATTCTTCCCAAACTGCCAAGAACACTCCGTACCCTGATACGTCTTGCAGTCTGCAAGTATACCAAAAGAGAAGCATTAACTTATCACCATCCATCTAGAATCGACAAGTTCATATGTATTATTTATCTAACACCGTATCTAACACTCACATCCGAATCCGAAACATATGTACTCAGTTCATGAAAATGCTATCCAAGCTAAGGAAAGAAGCTTACTGGAAAGGACCAATAGGAATGCCGAAATTGCTGATCACCCGGTCGATTCTGAACAAGTCAACACCTAAATTGACCAACAAATGTGCACCTTGCGAGTATGGGAAGAATGTCCGGTTGACCGCAAAGCCGGTGCAATTACCGACCACGACGGGAACTTTCTTTATGACTTTCCCCATTGCCACAAGATCAAGGATGGCTTGTGGGGAAGTTTTTTGTGTACGTACAATCTCCAAAAGGGGCATCACATGGGCAGGGCTGACAAATGAGAGAGCCAAATGAAATGAGAAGATAAAAAAAAGTTGGACCAACTAATTATTAATAAAAAGGGAAATGAATTTGATAACCTGAAAAAGTGAGCTCCTACAACACGATCTGGTGATTTTGTTTTTTCTGCAACTAAATTGAGGTCAATAGTGGATGTGTTTGTCGCCAAAATACAGTGAGGAGGGCAGGCCTTCTCTATTTCACTAAAAATTCTTTGCTTTAAAGGAACATTTTCAACGACAGCCTGAAAAGAGGAACATTAGAGAATATTTCATCACAGAAAACAAAATTGCAAGTAGAGATTGACAAATTATGAGAAAGGACATGTTATAAATTCCATGACATAGCTCACCTCAATTACCATGTCTACATCTTTAAACTCAGAGTAATCCAAAACTCCTTTAAGCATTGAAAGAGCTTTTTCCGACTCATCCTTTGTCAATTTCTCTCTACTAACTAAAGCTCCAACATTTTCTGCCAGAATTACATGTAAATAAAATAACTATTTAAAAACCAGAATCAGAATGCCTTTTCACCGGCTATTAAAAGAATGAGAAACTATTAAAATCACCATGAATCGTTTTTATCCCCTTCTGGAGATATTCAGGGTTAACTTCCTTGAGAAGGACAAATATATTGCTCACTGTAAGAGCCGTTGCTATTCCCGATCCCATTAGGCCTCCACCAATAATGGCAACTTTCTTTATTTGCCTAGGTTTTAGACCAAGGTCAGTAACATTTGGAACCTGCAAAAGTAAAACTTCAGGGGAAACAATACAATAGAAGATCCCAATTGGTTTGCGAGACTTCAATATGTTAGTTTAAAGTTTGATTTCACATTGCTAAAAATTTAAATTATCATACATTTTTACATTTTCTTTGTATCTTTTATTGATAATCTGTTTTAGCCGTCCTAAAATTTTATAATTTGGCCTCTCTAATTATTGCTGAGCAATTACCTTTGACGTAGCACGCCGGGCAAAGAACGAATGGACAAGACCTTTTGCAGTGTCTTGAAGGACTAACTTCTTAGCAACTTTGACCTCCTGCATAGATAAATCCCTACGTGAAAACATGAATAGGTATAGCAAACTAAATCTTTAGGTGCAACTGAGTAGAGATTCTTATGAGACTAGACATTATCACATAGAAGATTAAATGCAAGGGGTCCTAAAAATACCTTTAAAATTCCATGACATCCCCCATGAACAATCCCCTCCTCAATTACATCTAGGCAGGCCTGATGCTGAGGCAAATTTGGGGCAGTCCTTCTGGTTTGTTGTCTTGCAATTCTTATCACCTCCTTTGCTTCCGAGACGGATCCAATCTTGTCCGTTCTGTGAAGAGAACGTGTCCATGGTTTACGTTTCTCTGCAATGTCTAACGCCCACCTGCAAGAAACTTTCAGCAACTCTTCTGAAGGGACAATAGCATCGATAAGACCCAGTTTCTTTCCTCCTTCAGACATGATTGGTTTTGATGACTGCAATAGCATTATACATATAGTGACGAACGGGATAGATAACAATAAAGAATTAATTACGAGACATTAAAATTTTCGGAAAGCATCCAAGACAGCAAGTACTACCAGCATAATTTCGATAGCCTTTTGCAGCCCGATGAGCCTCGGAAGACGTTGTGTGCCTTTTGGAAGTGACATATTACAACAAGTCAGTCAAAGCTTGTGAAGTTGGTTATCATTTCAAACTCAAAATAATTGCACATCTTAACATGTTTATTTTCTCTAAATTACTCTGGTGGCCATACCTCCAAGCCCTGGAATCACTCCAAGTGACAATTCTGGCAAGCCAAGTTGAGCTTTAGGGGAAGCAATACGTCCATGGCAAGCCTGCATAAGAATAACATGGATTAGACAACTGAGCAAATTAACAATCATACTGGTGAATAATCAAATAGAAATAAGAAACAAACAATCGCCAATTCTAAGCCGCCTCCAAGAGCTAATCCTTCAACGGCTGCCACAACAGGTTTCTTGCATTCTGAGAGGATTTGAAAAACAACAACATAAGATGAGCTATAAACAACAGTGAAAATAAACAATTACAGTAAGTAAATAAATGAGGAAAGACCTTCGATAGCATTGAGGACAAGATCAACGGACACATCAGGCATCACAGATGCATCACCTGTTTAAGCATCATTATGTAAATTTCCACTCATTAAATTGTAAATCAGTAAAACTATCCGTACAATAAGAACTGCGAAGAATCTAACCAATTATCAACTCATACCGGTTTCGTGAACTTTCTGGAAAACATTGATATCAAAACCACCAGAAAACCTTCCTCCATTGCCTTGATCAACAAAATCAAACATATAAATAGAATTCTATAATAAAGTTTTAACAAGAGAAAATCATGAAAATAGTTTCCATTGAAATGAATGAGAACTCACCAGTTAAAACAACCGCTTTGACATCGTTTCTCCTCGAAGCCTCATCAAATTTCTCCATCAATCCCGCAATTACTGCAACGGTTGAAAAAAAAGAAGAAAAATAAATCAATTCGCCGCGTCAAAATTGAAGAACTAAAAAAAAGAGAAACATAAGCGACTCAGCTTGCAGAGCTTACCGGGAATAGTCATGGCGTTCACGGGAGGATTTAAGATGGTGATAACAGCAACGGCGTCGTTTACGAGCTCCATTGTCACTCGTGTTTGCGACATCACTCGTTTGGCTCTTTATTAATTTATTTCGCCTTCGTTTTTTCTATCGATTTTCCGACGAGAATGGCATGTAACTTGGACTGCTATTTGCTTTGGGTTTATTTATATAGCCCGTTTAGTGGAGAAATTGGAAACGAAGATTTGACTTGATATATATTTAGGGTTGACTTAAAACTAATTAAAAACTCTATTAGTCCGTCAGAAAAAGGAGTTATTTAAACTTATATTAGTCTTGAAAGTGAAAAATTAGTGGGCGAAGTATAAAAATGTTCCTCGATAAAAGCTTTATTAATATCTCTGACTAATAAAATTTATAAAATAATTTTTTAACTATAAGATATTATTTTGTTGAGTCTTCGACTATTAAAAATTATAATAATTCAACTATTTATTATGCTTTAAGCCCATCATTTTGTTAAAAAATTAATAGTAGTTTGAGTTATACTTTAATCTACTGACCAGAATATAATAGTCGTTTGAGACTTTAAGATCATATACATATCTCAATCAGCAAGTTAATATCCAATTTAAGTTGTCATCAATTTTATAACGAAAAATGATGAGTTTGAAACGTAATGAATAATTGGGTGATCATTTTATATTTTTTAATAGTTGGGGGACTAAAAAAGTAATGTCTATAGTTGAGAGACAATTTTACAACTTTTAATAGTCAAAAGACTTAATAAAGTAGTATATTATAGTTGGGACGTTTGTGTATTTTATCCAAAATTGAAATGATTCATCACTATTTTAATATTTCGAGTTAATTTTATGATATAATAATAAATTTAATCCTTGATGTTTTATATTATATTAATTTGACTATGATTCTAAAATTTTAAACATATAATTTACATATTTTATTTAATAAGCGTTAAGGATTAAATTTATTAAAAAATTAGAATATAAATCAAATTCATAATTAAAGGTATAATATATATGAATTAAATTATAAAAAATAGCAGAAAATATTAGCTTTATAATTCTGTTTACAACGTTGATATAAATTAAATACTCCATTTATTTCAATTTTCCACCTATCAATAAAAATTGATCAGTTTCCCACCCTTTTATTTTAAATTTTTCCGCGAAAAGTAGAGCCCTGTAACGAAGATTTTTTGTCGTTGGCGGTCCGACCCGAATCTCATGAAAATCGTGGTGTGGTGGTAAAGATGCACAGAACTATGTCGTTTGTAACAACCACAGTCAACCTTTGGATTTGCCTTTCTATGAAACGAGATGTTTCGAAGAAACATATCTTCGTCTTTTTTTTTTAATTAATGTTTGATTTTATATCAAACTGTTAATATTTTTAGGTAGGTTTCACACGTTAAATTTACCACGTATTATATCAATTATACGGGCAGTGTATCGATAAAAGATATTATTTTAATTTTAATTAAAAATATATTTTAAAATTAATGTTATACTAATTAATTTTATTATTTGATTGATCAAATCATATTCAACCAATTAAATTATTAATTTAATAATAAGTAAATAAATAAACAAAATTTGATTCAATCAATTGTACCGTAAATTTTTATTATTTTCAACAACACAACACAACATATCGTATATTTATTTATTTACTATCTAATAATTCAACAAACCAAATAATCAATTGTTAATTTGTTTTTTTTATAAAAACATGAGAAATAGTAATATAAAGTTTTAGTCGATAGAACCTTGGGGTCCACCACCATAAGTAAACTCGATGCGCATTAATCTTTTATCATGGGTCCCCCTTTTCACATTATGTTAGTGATCCTGGTCTGGGCGTCAAGGGTGGTGTGAATCACGGGTCAACGATACGGCAAACTACGATTGCCTTTTACGTGATGGCTTCTGAGAATAAGTAATGAATGTGGTTTGAATTCCATATGAACTCAAAGTGGTTGAGTCACAAACCTTTCCTGTCCCTACTTTGGTAGTTGAAACCAGCACTAGAAAAAGACTAATGACTTTAAAATATAACATAAAATATATTACATTAATCAAAATACTTTTCTCTCTCTCACTAAAAATATTTTTGTTTTTTAAAAATAATTTAAACTTTGATCATTATTATTTTAATTATTTTAAGTAATTATATTTTATAAAAATATATTTAAAACTATTTAATTTAATTTTTTAAAATATGTTTTTCATAATTTTATCAGTAATAAATTTTAAATAATAATTAGTCAAGTTTAAAAAAATTGATTAAAAAATAGACAAGAGATAGATTTAACGAGACAGAGAGAATATAAAATGATCGTTAAATTTATGAAATTGTTATGAAATAAGTATTAAATGTATAAAAAATATATTTTAATAAATTTAATAATTATTTTTTTTGAAAGTTTAGAAATTATTACAAATAATTTAAAATCTTCCAAGTTGGCAAGTGCCGAAGCATACCCTTTCATGTTGTTTGAAAGTCATTTTTCTTAATGCTGCGGAACTCCTATTGACTTTATCCACTAAGTTCTAAGTTACAAAATGTTAACTTGACATTCAAAGTCTATATAAACTAGTGATAGGGAGTAGGGACAAATCTTTGGTAGTTTGTATGGTAACACTATTAGTCGAATCTATATCAATAGTATCTTAAATTTAAAGTGAATATTCAATAGAGTAAAGTAAAAAAATTTAAATTAATCGAGTTGATGAGATCTATTTATCATTTAAATTTTATTAAAGAAAATTTTGTAGTCGAATTTAAGAAATTTGAGTCGAATCAAGTCAAGTCAAGTTGTTCGAGATTTTTTTCAAATTTGTAATATATGATTCTATTCTTTTTCATGGTGTAATTTTATTTAATAAATCAAATAAAATAAAAAATAAAAAATATAATTACAATATTGTTTTTCAAAAAAGGTATATTGAGGATAAAGTGTTGATGAGAGTATAGAAGAATCAAAGAAATGATGGAGAGAAAGAATTTACAAAAAATTGTAAAAAAAAAAATATTGAATAAAAAGCAAAATTAAGAGACTAAATTGAAAAAAAGTAGTAAATTTATTGTTAAAAATAAAAATTGAAGTTGCATAGATATTCTATAAAGGTAGAGGAGCATGTGATTTAAAATTGGTAGAAATAAGATTTAAAAAGAAGAAAAATTTGAAGAAATGAGGAAACTACGCGAAGTTCATGGGTTAAATTGAAAAGAAATAAGAATTTTGTTTTCAAAAGAAGAGATTGAAGATACTTGGTTTAAAGAAATTGAAGAAATGGAAAAATCGAGGATCAATTCATAAAACTATCAAATTTGGTATACAATATATAAACGTAAAATAGATAATAAAAAAAATGGTTTTCCCTTGTTCCCATATATAATGGGATATGGAGAGGTAAGATAATAGGCTGGCTCCCAACACTAGGTTGAGAGCAACTTCCGTAGAAGACCTCCGAATTATGAAATGCCCTCCGTGGGACTCGATCCCACGACCTCAAGGTTAAGAACGTTGTGCTCTACCAAGAGAGCTGGATAGTCATCCCATGTAAAATAGATAATACATTCTTATATAATTATTTTTAAAATTTTTTATTATTTGAATCGATTTATCTCAGTCAACTCAATTTTTTAATTCAAATTTTCAGTTTACGTCAAGTTTAGATTTGTGAAATTTGAATAACAAACATATTAAAACATTATCATTTTGATTTTTAGCTGAGTAGTTTGATTCTTTAATAATTTAATCCATGATTTCACTTGTTCTTCAATTCTTCTTAGTCAATATTTGATCAAATTCAAGTCAGATACCCCTAAACTTATAGAATAATTATATAACTTTGATGCTTCTTAACAACAATTTTCTTTTATTTTTTTCAATTTAATCCTCGACTCTTTGTATTTTACTCTTCGCATGTACAAACAAGTTTCATGGTGCATTGGAGGCAAAAAGTTGCATGACATGCAGAACAGATAATCTACAGGACACAGTTACTAGAGATGAAGACAGCAGCCAGAAAGCAGTTCCCGAGTACATCAAATCTTAAACGAGTCACATAATCACTTCCCTGTCCACGTTCACAAGGAAGAACAGCACAAAGCTCTAAAATTTCGTCACGTAAGGTAAGATTTCCTTGTAGGTAAATATGAGCATACATACTCATCTCCCACTTGTTGCATTCCTTTCCCTCTTTCTTCTACTCCCTCTTGTTCCCCTTCTTCTACCTATCATTGTCGAGCATCGGGACTTCTTAGGCCATAGCTTTCAAGCTTCTCTAGATATGGAGATTTCTTTGGGGTTGGCTTGGACGATTTGTTGTCATTATCACGCTTGAAGTAGATTTCTAGATCAGTTGAATCTCTCCTTCTTGAAGCAATACCCCATCCCATGAAATCCGAGAGTGTAGCACTCGCACCGACTGCGTCTTCACCGGAGGAGCTAGAGGACGCCTCGGATCTCGCCGGTGAAGATATTTGAGTAAGGCAGTCAGCATGAAGGACATCCTCAATTCTCGACATGACGGTGAACGCCAAACTCTCCAGGATCCTTGAATAGCTTTCCTGGATAGCGTGTCCTGCATCCTGTGGAATCCAATACCAGATTACAAGGTTCGTTTAAGAAAAGTTGTGCAATGGTTTGCATGATTTACCCTATTGTATTGGATCTTGGATATATCGAGTGAAGATTGTGGAAGTCCCGGGAATCGCTGCTTTAACAAGATTAAGATGGTTTCGGCCCTCACTTCGAAGAGTTCCCTCTTCTCCAAGCTGACACTCGAACCCCAAGAAGATCTTCCATCTTTATGGTGCAGCTTCCTCTTCCATATGATATTGGAGGCCTCAGTCCTATTCTTAAGGTCTAAAACTTTGTGTTCTGTTGACAAGTCCATGGTTGCTAGGAACTGTGACGGATCAAACTGATCCACCGTGATGCCTTTATAGATTGAATCGCCCAGGCTTGATCTTCCATTCTATATACACATGATGGAGAAGAAGAACAATCAAGTTAACTGAAGAAAAAATTATTACAATAGTTTAATTACTTGATGGGGTTTTTTTTTTTACCTGGGAGGGAATCAATGTAGCTGTCGGGGATTTCCATTTCGGATAGGATTTCTGCATTGATGGCCATAGCTGCTTTTAGAACTTGATTCACCGACTCCTTTTGATACTGCAGCCACCGTCGTGATGTTTCCGATAACCCATTTTCAGGTACCTTAACGGTGGGATGCCACCATTTGTCATCCCTATGGCCGTTTTCATTGTCTTGATCGTCGTTTTTGGACACGTACCAGAACTCTTGTTCTTCCCCAAATCTGTCAAGAGCCTCCTGTTTTTCATTATAAATTTTATCAATCTTTTGTTTCACCATGAAATGATGTTTTTCAGGTTAAAAACTAGAAGGTTAAAGCTACTCAAAATAAGCATGGTGTCGAGTTTGCGTAGGCCAGGTATGTTGGTAAGCAGATCGCTTCTTTGTCTAGTGACCATAACCTCCATGTTTGTTCCGTTCTTCGTTTTCTGTAGTGAAGGAACGAATTCGACGATGTGATCTGTTACCGATAGAAGCCAATCCATTTCTCTTCGCCACCTTGCTTTCGTCTCCGGAGCCATAGGTCCTAATTTTACTTGTTCTCCAAAAACGGATGCTGCGTTATCAAAGGCTCAGAACTTATCAAGAATTTTCATCATGGAAACTAAATAGAAGATCAATGAGATCAAACCTGCTAGGTTTGTCGCTGCATTTGACAAAGCCAAAGCTGAAGAAACACCTTTTCCTCCTCCCGACATATCCTCACCCAGAAGCAACTTAGCGAACTTTTCCTTCATCATATCATATCTATATCAATCCCAGAAAGAAAATCATTAGCAAGAAAATGAATCCGAGTGTGTTTGGCAATGGCAGGAAAGAAAATTATCTGAAATGTGCACCTGATGGTGGCCTCTCCGGGGAAGTTCCTGGGCAACAATCTCCTATATGTTGGTGATGAGTTGATTTTTCTTGCTGGTTATGATCAACATCATCGGCGTGATGATTGCCGCCCGGGATCAGATTTTGCTGCTGCCTCCCCGGACTCTCAATCATTCTCATAATGCGGAAAGATCCCGAGTTGTGAGTGCTGTACCGACGAGTCAATGCCCGAACCATCGTGCAATCTTCAAGTTAGCTTCTTCTTCTTTGTTTTGCTTGTGACGGTGATGAATTGAAGAAGAAGCAAAGCCGGAAACGATTATAAATGAAAACAAAACTAGGGTTGTTTTGTAGGGAGAAACTACTCCATTGGAAATGAGAGGCTGGCAATCGAAGCAGAAAGGATTTATCAGTTTTCAGCTTTACTGAAGAGTTTCAGCTTTCGAGTGGTTAACGTTGTTTCAACTAGCAAACATAAAATTATAAACAACGAAAACACTAAAATTGGTCATTTGTTAAGACGGGAGTCAAATTTGGTTTTCCGATTAAGTTCAGTTTCTGACATAAATTCGTTTGCTATGTATCCGAGAAATTATCGGACGTTGAATTCAAGTTCGAGAGTGATCTAATGGAGTTTAAATGTTTGATCAATGGAGCATGAAATTCAAGGTAATACTTTACTACCTCTTTTCAAGTTTTATGGAACATGTTGATAATGGATAAATGCATGAATGTATATGATTGGTCTACTATGCATGTTTGATTATGGATGGACTCGAATCGAATACGGTTTAAGTGATAATTTGGTTAAGCCTCAATTGAATTACATAAAGGAATTGTAAGACTGGTAAGAAATGATTTCAAGTACAATGATTAATCTGAATAGCCAATGGGGTAAAAATGGTCCGGACTGACCTGAGAGCGAAAGTACCTTGAGAATTCGTATTTTTTAATTCAATAAATCACTATTCATCTGTTAAATTCACGATCTGCTCGGATAGTTACTAATAATCAGATCCCAAATCGAATACGGTTTAAGTGATAATTTGGTTAAGCCTCAATTGAATTACATAAAGGAATTGTAAGACTGGTAAGAAATGATTTCAAGTACAATGATTAATCTGAATAGCCAATGGGGTAAAAATGGTCCGGACTGACCTGAGAGCGAAAGTACCTTGAGAATTCGTATTTTTTTAATTCAATAAATCACTATTTCATCTGTTAAATTCACGATCTGCTCGGATAGTTACTAATAATCAGATCCTAAAATTCAAAAGGTACAAGACATGTAATTGTTGATTATTAGCAAGCACCTAAAGACTAAAATATTGGAAGTATTGTTCTTGTTTGAATTAGTCAGAAAAATTGAATTAAATGGAAAGACTGGACGGAAGGTACATAAGTTTGGATTGATCAGAATTACTGAAATGTCCCCGAGCTATGAAATAACAAAAATAACATTTAATGTTCAAATGATCAAAATACCTTGAACTCTAAAGGAACTAGAATACCTTGAAGCCTAATTTATCGGAAGTAATGCCACTGACAGAATTAAATGGAATGACGATAATACCCTTAAAGTGTAAAAAGGACTATGGATAGACTATGAGAACACCGATGAGCCTAAATGATTGTACTGCCTCTAAAGGTTATGGAGCACGACTCAAGTCGTCAAACATATCGGATACTATTACGACATAGAAATGATATAAATACCAATGAAATATCAATTCGTCTCCTCAAGAATTGATCAAGGATGATTCTGATATTGATCAGATCAGTTAGTGCAGCCAATAATAAAAAGTGAATAATTGTGAAGTATCACGGTCCAAATGATTTACAAGTATCGCAATATTAGGAACTGTAGATCAATCGGACTGAAATCTTGATAATTCAATATATATATTATTGAATACCATAAATCATTGCTCTATCCTTATTGAGTTAAATTACTAAGAAGTCTCCAAGAACCAAAATGTCAGAAACCCTCTTTGTTTAAATAATGGAATCACTCTTGTCATACTGAAATCAAAAGTAACTCTGATGCAAAGGATTATGAATACATTTCTGAATAAATAGTGCCTCCGAAAAATATCCTAATACTATATGATCTTGTTAAATCACATCCCGAATAACTGATCCCTTTTATAGGGATCTTGATTATGAATTTAATCAGTTTACAGAAGTTTCATGGCTTCCTACAGATAAATACCAAGTACCTTAAGAAAATAATTGGATCCTCTAGTGTGTTCCCTATGTGTTATATGATTGTTTTATCTGTTCTGAAATGTGTTTTACCGAGATTTCTAAGTTATTGAAGTTTTAAGTCTGTCTGTCTGATTCATGATCTCTTGATACTGTTCCTACTGAATTGATATGTCTGAGCACTGATTTCACTGCTACTGTAATGTTGAACTATATTTTGATATAACAATTAAGGCAAAATGTTTTTGGACTTGAATTGAATTTATTCAAAGTTTTCAAAACTAATTCAAAGTCGTTAAAGCTTGGAATTGAGCTCAAAATATGTTTTTGTACAAGTAGTATCGATATTGTTTTTACAGTATCGATACCTAATGAACAAGTACCAACACTGTTCATATAGTGCCGATATCAAAGGTAAGGGAAGTATCGATACTCACTAGGTAATACCGATACTACCAGCTTTGCTCAAATTCCAGAATGCAAAAATGGTATCGATACCCAAAGGGGTACCGATACTACTTTACATAGTAGTATTGATACCATATGTAGTACCGATACCATAAGGCCCAACGACTAGTTAACAGCTAGTTTATTTAAAATAAACAAAGGTAGTACCGTACTCCCTTTAGGAGTATCGATACCCTCTATACTAAGCAGTTTTATTTTGCAGAGTTTTTATCTCCAAACGGCTCTAAACAACCCCCAATGGCTAGAAACGGCCATAACAAGATTCCAACATATAAATACAAGTTCAAGACACTTGAAGAAGGTTAGAGAACCTATCAAAGCATTCAAACACAGGAGAAGAAGTCTTTCATTCTTATTTTCATTCTCTCTTGTAAATATTTGTTCTTTGTGAGCTAAATCTTCTAAACATCTACCTTGTAGAGGTTTATTTTTGTTTACTTCTTTTTATCTTTTGTAAAAGGTGTTGGTTCTATCTTAGCCAATTGAAAAAATATAGGGAGTGTAAAGGTTATCTCTTGATCCTTTAAAAAGAAAGGACAAATTAGTGAATTTGTTAGAAAATCCTTAGTGAGGATCTAAGATAGTGGATGTAGACTTGGTTGATAAGTCGAACCACTTTAAATCATTGTGTCAATTCTTTATATCTTTTGTTCTCCTTAATCCCTAAATTCAATTTTATCAATTAAACCTCTTTGCATTTTTTCGGTTGTTAATTTGAGCCTTTTCATAATCCCAACAATTGGTATCAGATCCTAAATCATTTAGAAGGTTTAACCACCTTGAGACGTTCCTAGAAGAAGCTCTACCAATTCCTGACACAACTGAGAAGAAATGGCTTCATCCTCTAGTGCATACTACATTGAAGATTCACAACCGGTCAATAAGCCATCCTACTTCAATGGAGCAAATTATTCCTATTGGAAGAATATGATGACGTTCTTCATTCAAGCAAATGATTTAGGAGCTTGGAACTCGATCATGAAAGGTTACACTATTCCAACCGGCGAGATGGACGATTGGAGTGATGGAGAGAAGAATAAGTTCAAACTCAATGCTAAGGCTATGCACATTCTCTTTTGTGCATTAGGCCCGTATGAATATGGAAGAGTCTCCTCTTGTTCCAATGCCAAGGGGATATGTGATAAGCTCAAGTCACTCATGAAGGAATCGATGAGGTGAGGGAAACAAAAATAAGTCTTCTCAACCATAGCTATGAGAGTTTCAAGATGAAACCCGATGAAGACATCAAATCTATAACGGATAGATTTTTCGTGATTGTCAACGGGCTCAAGAGATTTGAAGAAGTAATCTCCAATGAGAAGCTTGTGAGGAAGATGGTCTACTCTCTTCTAAAGTCTTGGAAATCGAAGAAGACGGTGATTATCGAAGCTAGGACCTAAAGTCTCTCACTCTTGATGAGCTAATTGGTTCTCTTCTCACTCATGAGTTGACGGTGAAGGAAGATGAAGAAGATGAAGAGAAGCAAAACAAGAAGAAGAATGAGTAGGCATTGCCTTCAAGTCCACCAATAAAAGTTATAAAGATTCAAGTGAAGAGGTGGATGAAGACGATGATGAAGAATAAGAGATGGACAAGCTCTTCAAAAAGTTCAAGAGATTCATGTCTTCCAAGGAAGTGAAGTATGAATCAACCAAGAAAAAGTGGCACCCGGTGTGCTTCAATTGTCAAAGAAAGGGGCATGTCAAGTATGAATGCCCTCTCCTAAAAAAGAAGGGATCAAGCAATAAAAAGGCATTTGTGGCGGCTTGGAGTGATGAAGATGAAGTAGCCAACCTATGCCTCATAGCCATCAAAAGAGATTTTGAGGTATCTTTTAACTCGAATGATTTAAATTCACATTCTTTTGATGAGTTACAAGATGCTTATAATGAGTTGTATTTGGAATTTGAGACCATGAATTCTAAATATAAGAAATTAATTTCAAAATTTAAAGTTGAAAATGATTTGATTTTGAAAGCCAAAGTTGATTTTGAAAATCAAAATGAAATTTTGAAAAATGATTTAGAGCGTTCAAAAGTTAAAACAATGATTTAGAAAAATAAAATTTTGATTTGAAAGTTAAGCTTGAGAGCTTAACAAAAGAAAAAGAATTAATTTCTCAAAACACCTCATTATGTTTAAAAATGGCAAAATGCTCACATTGTCATTTTTATGGTCATTTGGAACATATTTGTCCCATAAAGAAAAGAAAACCTTTTAAAATTAGACAAGTATGGGTTCCCAAGGGAACAAGGGGCATTGAAACTAATATTCAATGATCCAAAGAAATTTGGATACCAAAATCTACTTAAATGTCTCTTATAGGTGTGTGTGAGCAATGGTGATGAAGATGAAGAAATTGAGGTGCTCTAGCCACACTTGAAAATGAATGGGTAACCTCTAAGCTTAATGATTTTATTTTGGTTATTTGGTTTCTCATTTTGTTTATGAATGCATGAGTTTTATTTTAAATGATTATGCATTGTTTTTTTAATTTCATGTGTGTTGAAAAAGTTTTATGATGAACATTTTAAAGTTTAATGATTTTTTATAATTTTTTGTTC